TTGCTAAATACCTTGTAAGGTACGTTGTAAAGTGCGTTGTAAAATGCCCGGTAAATGAGTGTGAGTTTGGGCCGTCGCATGTCAGGTTATGAAAGAATGTAATACCTATATTTTGCGGGGAATCTTGGCGAAATTTTCGAAAGAATACTTTTGCTGGTCGGAGGTGGGTGGGGTACAGTCCGACAAGACCTTTTAGACAGTACGAGTAGACCACCTCAAATTTTATCACTAGAAATATCTAGAAAACTACGGTAGGTAGAAATAGGTTCGGGGCTACCTAGTCCGGCGTTGACCCGGCTTCGGAGCCCCAATCGGATATAGGTCAGGCCGACCTATCCGTCTAGACTCGGCTCCGGGACACTTGGTGTAAGTCCACTAGCTGCCGCTTACCTTCTGTTCCTCTGCTATTCAATCCTTCCTAGTTCCAGCCACCTAGAAAGTGCTTCAATACTCGTTCTTAATCGGATGACTTTCGGTTCACCATAGACGTCAACAGGCTTATTGAGCCAAGGAACTCGGGCCCCGCTATTTTTAGTTTTCGTCTTCCTCCGTCAACGCTTCCACTCGAGCGAGCTCTTGAACTTGGTTTTCCATCTTCCACAACAGATCAAACCATGGGAGACACTCAGCAATATCATCAACCTTCATCGGGTTTGGAGACAAAATCATCTTCATGTCGACTTCAAAATTGATTCGAGCATGGCCCTATATTGATTGGGGTAGCTGGAGAGCAGTTCAATGACTGTTTTTGGCCATCAAACAAGGCGAGTTGATCGCGCGGAATTTCCAGACCCAGGGCGCATCCTCCCCCAAACGACTGCCACGGCTAGGTAATTGAACCTCTGTCATCCATTGTCTCCTATAATGCCCTCACACACAACTCTCTGGTCCGTTCTCGTCCTCGGACTTCCGATCTCAACTACCATGTCGTCAGCACATGGCGTGACAGTTCGGCCCTCCCCGCACACATCGGTGTCCGGTTCGTATACAATAATATCCCGACAAGAGACTTCCATCACGAAGGGCTTGTACGCAAGAGCGATTGGCGAAGAGAAAATGAAGCGAGCCAGAATTCTACAGATACGGGAGATGGAGATGGGGGCTGTTACCATCTGCCGCATCCACAACTTGGTATCATTGTCGTCAATTTTGGTCCAGTTTCAGGTTCGGCCACAAGCTCATGCAACACACAATGATGGCCTAATGGCTGGGTTGATTTCTTTCCAAGGCAATTTGAAGACATGTTAGGGAAAACGTTGAGAATGCAATAATGCTGCGGGGCTTTCTTGTCAAAAAGCCCAACCCAGGACTGGATTGGCGCCGAGGGGGAGGCGACCAGCCATCTTATGCTCGACCGAAGAAGCATTTCCGGGACCGAAGCAGACACCAAACTTCTATCGATATCCATCCCCCTGCCGTTCAGTACCGGGTTGATGTTTGCCATCACCAGCCGTGGGTGACTTCTTAAAACCTGTCAACAGTTAGCCACCCGAGTTAGCACATGGTCATCTGCGGCTTGTTCCGAGGCATCAGCAGCAACAAGCCGAACAAGGTGAGCCAGATAGACAGATCTTCAGCAACCCAGCGAATTCTTCACCTCGCTAATAATACACAATGTTGGGAGTACTTCTCTCCGTCTGCAAGTCACAGGTCCGTCAACACACACTCAAAAAGGCGGGGGGATACTAAACCATGGCCTGCATGGCGCCGAAGAGGGCTGTCATTTTTCTTTTTGTTTTCCTTGCGGTCATCACACTGCTTCAATAATTTCTGGGACAGTGGAGGGAAAAAGAGTCTCCGGAACTTGCCATCATCTCGAGGATCATATCTCGCGGAGAAAGCTTCAACTTCGCGCCTATATGATTCTAGTCTTCGATACCGAAACAAGGTACTTTAATGGCAGGTGACTTCCCCCAGGACCCGGCATATTCCGCGCGATTACAGAGTCTGCAGACTGCACCTAAGTTCGGCTAGCTGGGCCGTCGTTCCCAAAAAATTTTTTGTTTGCTTACCCCCAGCCAATAGGTAGCCCGCAAGCAAGTAGTCAGCCACTTCGAAATAGTTCATGTTTGCCTGTTCCTTTTATACGAAGCAGTACCTCCAGGTAGCCCTCTTGTCTCTCTTGACTCGAATCCAGTCCAACCCCGGGAACGGAAGTTTCCAGGCTCCATGAAGCTTGGAACCCCGCGGTCTATCGACAGCGTCTGACTATCGAGAGCATAGGTACCGGTTGAACTAAACCATATCTGTTGCAAGTGTATAGTTCATATAACAGGTCCCTGTTCTTGGGGGATAAATGACTGCGTGCGTTCTTACCCAATTAAAAGCCTACCCAAGGCATCGATTCTGGCAAGGATACCGTATACCTATGTACCGAACCTACCTGAGGGTTGTTCTAGAAGTTGCATTTTGCACCGTTCATGCGCAAGCGTACCCACCGCGTTTTAACTCCCTTGAGATTGATGAAGATATTCCTGCTAACTCTAGCGCGTACCGGGAATGTGCCCGTATCCAGGCGCCGTCTTCGTGAGCAGAAAGTCACGCAGATCACTTGACTTGTCTTCAATGGTTATGCTATTTCCAACTTCCTGCATAGGAAAACAAGCGCGCGGGTTACCGCAAAAAAGAAGAGAAAAAATGACTCTAGAGGTACCTTAGTAATCAAGACAACCACCACCGTAACGGAACTGCCACACCCCGAACGAAGCCTCCCTCCCGTCCATACCTACCAGACACCGGCCGGCTCTCACGCAGTCATCTTTGTGCAACCGTTACACGACATAATATACATATGTTACGATGCGGTCAGGTCCGCACAACTTAACCTGCACATGAGATCTTGTACGACAGACAGACACCGGGAAGGCTTTTGTCTCACACTACGTAAGTACCTACCTACGTAACGGCACATTTACCAGCCATTCGGGCATGCTGCTGTACTTCGAAGTGAGTAGAGTAAAATCGACATATATACCTGCCAACGGACCGAATTCGTTTATAGTCTGCTGGTCTGGGCGAGAGGAGAGGAAAGGCCTGGGAAGGCGGCGAGCAAAAGAAATATCAAGACGAATCTACTTAGGTACGCAGTAGAGTTAGGTACCTAGTGTCCGGGCAGTCAAAGAAAGAAAGTACCAGACCAGCAGGTAAGCTAAGTATATCAGGCTGACGCTCTTTGTTTCATACCTACCTACCTAGAGGTAGCTGGAGCTGCTGCGGTCGTGGTTCTTGTAGGCATTACCAGTACTCGAAGGTTTACTACAATCCAATGAATATAACTCCCAATGCATGTATGAGAAAACGAACGGCCCGCGAGCCGTCATGACCAGACAGTGGCGGAGGGATTGAATTTAGCGCTCGCTGGCTGGCTGGCTTTGATGGAAGTGAAGTAAGCTAGCTAGTTGTAGAATCATCGTTAGGATAATTGGTTAGAGTAAGGGTAAGGTAGGTAGGTATCAAATACCAGTTGTACTATACTAATCTATCCTGGACCGGTGTAGTTCAAGTCGTATGTTGGACAGTCGTTGGAAGTTGTATAGTAAGAGGAACAAGAGACTGGCTGGTCCTTGAGATTTAGGTTGAGACAGCACAGGTCAACACCCGGAGGTGGAATCGGACTTGATCCTGGTGTTTATAATAAGAGTTCAATACAGAGGATCGTAACGGTGATATATGTAGGGTACTAATTGAATTGGAGTACCTACCTACATGTATGTAATCACTTGACCAGCGGCCGTTGAGATGCTCGGTAATATTATTGGAACAGGACTACTTTGCTTCTTTTGCTCATGGTACACACACTTTGTTCTGAGGGAGGCCAGCGCAATAACCGACAACTCCGGTCGGGACCGCGGCGCGCGGGGTGTCTGGTGTGTGTGTGTGTGTGTGTGTTTCACAACACCCAATCATCGCCGTGGCGTTCTATCCCTTGCAGCCAGCAAGCCGTCTTGGACGATCGCGCAACAACCAAGGTTTTCAGGTATTTGGTTAGAGTTAGGTTTGCTGTGACGGTGCATACCTGACCTAGTCTATGTGGTCATATTGTTTTTGCTCGGCTATTGTTGGCGCATTTGGCCGCGCTTAAAGACATGTGTGATTATGGAAGGTCGTTGCGAAGAATAATTACATAGGGATATAGTAAGTAGTGGGCGTTGCGTTAACGGGCCAAGACAAAAGAAATGTAGAAGGATGGTAGATGTTGTACTGTGTAGGCTGTCGACAGTTCTTTGTTTGCTACATATGTCCACCACCCCCATCGCATCAGGCTAAGCTCGCCGCCGCTCACTGTCGTTCTGAGATTATGGATGGGTAGGTAGCCATCTGATTGAACACTTTGTTATTCTTGTGGCTTGCTTGGAGAATGCAAGCCCACGCACGGCATTCGTTCTTCATGAGAAGGCGGCAATCCGGCCATCGAGCGGCCCTTTTTTTTCTTTTTGCGCCACAACGCCCGGTTCGATGGCGTTCGCTTTGTTCTTCGGCTCCAGTCCTCGAGCGAGTCCGCAGATCAGTTCTTCACATTCGACGGTTGCGGGAGTTTGTGAGTTGCATACAATCGGCTTCTTCAACGGTGCGGCAGGTTTCGTCGACAAGTAAAATATGACAGCCGCCCTCCCCCCCTTTTCATATCTATCAGGTAAAGGCGAGAAAGGCTAACCGACTGACTGGCTAGGCCCGATCTTCAACTCGTTGTAGCAAACAAGACGTGAACCCCATGGATGGATAAGGACTTGCCAGCCAATGAGCTTCATGATGTAGCTTCATTGCACCGGAACTTCCCAGACGGACTGATGGAATATTAACAGCATGGGAGATGGGTAGAGGTAGGGCTGCTTTCACTGACTTTGATTATAAAGATCGTGGGTACCTACTCGTTGTCTTTGACACCTTTGATCTTCTGGAAACATCAGTCAGTGCCGGCCAACAACATTTGACGTGCCCCTTGCAAAACCATCAGACTCAGACATACTCATCGCAGAGTAGAGTCAACGACAGTTTCAAAGATGTCCAAGACCATGATACCGGCGTTGTTCGCCGCCACGATCCCCTTCCTCATCTTATCTATTGTCTTTGCATGCCTGAGGTTCTACTGCAAGCGACTCAAACAGGCCAAATTCTTTGTAGACGACTATCTGTTGATCATTTCTTGGGTATGTCAACAACACCCTCTCTCTCTCCAGTGTCGTCAGAAACGTTAGTACTAACACTCGTGACTGACCTTGTCAAAGTTTCTTTTGTTTGGTCAAACCGTTATTATACTTTGGTCAACACAATACGGGCTGGGAATTCCTCCTGCCAAGCTCGACATGAAGAAAGTTCCCACCTTGGTCGCCTGGACGCCCACGGCACTGTTCCTGGCTCTCAACGCAGCAGGCCTGTCGAAACTGTCCTTCTTCATCACCTTGATTCGAGTCTCTTCGAAGCGGTGGCAGAAAATCGCTCTGTGGGTGGTGGCGATTCACTCGACTATCTTGGTGGTCGGCACATCGATCCTGGGATTTGTCGATTGTAATTTCTATCGGAGAAAAGACCCGCTGCATCATGACCATTGTGTCCCTGAGAAGGTCGGCAAGATCTTGGCTCTCACCGTCTTGATGCACGGGGCTGTCGTTGTGAGTAAATTCCGCTGGAGGATATGTTAGCTCTTTGAACTGACAGGAAGTATCACAGGAATTCTGTTTATCCTTTGTGCCCGCCATGTTGCTGTGGAACTTGGAAATGAAGCGGCGAGAAAAGATCGGTCTCATCTGCGCTATGAGCCTAGGATTCATGTAAGTGACAGGTGGCCTGCTCACGTCGTCGTATGCTGTTGCTAACATTGAACTGCGCTTTATAGTTCCAGTATCCTAGCAGCACTAAAGACAAAAGACCATTGGAAGGCCGTTTTTGGGGGTACGGGAATGCCTAACACGTATATCCTCGGACGCGAGGCAGTGTTTGGGATCACGGAGGTGTGCATGACCATCATCGCCGCCTGTATCCCTTTCTTGCGCCCGTTGCTGCACAAGTTTGTGGACGGCAAAGGAAGGGTCGAGATGCCGTTGGCGCTGAAGAACATGGCTGCAGACAGTAGTAGTAACGGTGCCTCTGACATGGGGCACCCGCACACTCGGCTCGGAAGCTCAAGCACCTTTACGACGACGAAACATGGCGGCGCTCGAGAGGAGGATGCTGTTGCCATTCTCGAGGCTGAAAGTGTGGCAGAACATGACAGCCAGGACGCAGAGTCCAACGAATCAGGAACCATTGTGCGCAAGACGCACGTGAGCGTACAATATAGACCCAGAGAGGTACACGAGGGGGAATGCCGAGGTCATTGTGACGTTGGTGTATCTGGGCCAGGTGAAAACTGATATCCGGGGGCAGTGGTGGGTGTTCAAGGAGGTCAACATGTATGTCAGATCCCTCTTTCAGTGCTTTCAACGTGTAACCCGAGCGGCAGTTGGTCGTCTGTTTTGAATCTGTCTGGGTATAGACTTCCGATCGGACGGGGTTTGGTGATGTGGTACGTTTTGCTCCCAACTCGGTTTCAGGCACACACTGTAAGGTCGCCGTAGCAGCAGTGAGAGGAAGCTTATCTCCGGCAGCGTTGAGATGGGAAGGGGACGTGAGATGCTTGGGGGGACAAGATGGAATGGGATCGTCGCGAATCCGGGGCCATGGCGCGGGGTAAGAGTCTCGGGCTATGCAGCCTTACCCCCTCGGATTTCCCCAATCGAGCCAAGTGTTGAAGCTATTGGGGAGCAAAATCCGGGGTAATTCCCCACCTTTCCCCGGGTTCAGTCATGCCATGCTTTCCAACAGAGTGACCACCAATGAGCCATCAGTTCAGCCATACATAAGACGAGATACTCCAACCAGCAGTCTTTACCCAATCGCCCTAGTCTACCGACCCTCCACGAACGAGAAGCTATGAATGTCCTCAGATTCGATAGCGCTTCCATCCCCAGGCTTGGCAACTTCATGTCGGCTGTCTTCCTGCCCTGCTTTGGGTAAAATCTCGGGTAAAGGTTGGGGGAGAATGAGGGGAAATAGGGTTAGGTGGGGGGTAAGAAAGGGAAGCCATTCCAGAAAGTGATCGGCACCGGTTGTCATCATAGGCTTTTTTTTGGGGGGGGAACGTCCCTGAGTAAATGTCGAATGACCAGGTGAAACCATGGTATGTATGCCAGACGATATCCGGGTGAAGAGAGCCAGATGGCTGGTTCCGTCGGATGAATAGATGATGACGCAGGCTACATATACCGTCGGCGTCCCTGTCGGTGTATCCTGTCATCCGCCTCAAGCATCTGCCCTATTCGTTGAGCTTGCGGCCTTGTACGACTTGAGATAGACAGACAGACAGACAGCCGAGAAAGAGAGAAAGAGATAATACCTCTAGCTCATCACTAGGCAGGAATGGTGTAGCCATCAACCAACCACTCCTTCCCGTCTTTTCAGTCCTGTCCACCATCATCGACCACGTCCTCTACCACACTCCTTCTTTTTTCCCTTCTTCCTCCTGCACCTCTAACCCATCCTTCGCCCTCAAAATGGGCCTCCCAACCAGCACCACTACCTCAAAGCCCTCCACGACAGGCACAGGCACAGGCACAACACCTCCCAACCCCAAATCCAGCATGGAACCCTCCAAAGACGAACTCGACCTAGTATCCCCCACCAAATCCAACAACCTCCACCCGACATCGCTGAACGACCCCTGGACCGCCAAATTCACCTCCGCCTCCCCCAAATGGCACCAACACACCAACAAGACCCTCCTCCGCAAAATCGACCTACACCTCCTCCCCTTTCTCATCCTCATGTACCTCCTCAACTTCCTCGACCGGTCCAACCTCGCTCAAGCGCGCCAGGGGACACTGGAGACCGACCTCGGCATGTCCGGCACAGACTTCAATCTCGCCACGTCCATCTTCTTCGTTGCCTACTTACTCATGCAGTTGCCATCCAACATGCTGATTACGCGACTGCGGCCATCGATTTATTTGTCAAGTGCAATGGCGCTGTGGGGAGCGGTGAGTGCGTGTAATGCCGCCAGTCAAAAGTTTACGCATTTGCTGGTGGTACGAATCTGTTTGGGGATTGTCGAGGCGCCGTTTTTCCCCGGAGCGGTGTTTCTGATGAGTAGTTGGTATAGTCGGGCGGAACTGACGAAGCGGATGGCGTATTTCTATAGTGGGAATGCGTTGGCGAATATGTTTGGGGGCGTGATTGGGGCGGGGGTGTTGGGGAATTTGGAGGGGGCGAGGGGAGTGAGTGGGTGGCGGTGGTTGTTTATTATTGTGAGTTTTCCCTGTGATACAGGATGGTGAGGGATGGGGACTGACTGAGACGACGACAACAGGAAGGAACAATCACTGTCGCCGTGGCCGTCGCCGCTGCGTTTGTCCTGCCCGATTATCCCAACACCACGCGCTGGTTGAGCGAGGAGGAGCGGGCGTATGCCTCGTGGCGCTTGTTGGCTGATATCAACGAGTCGGACGACCAAAACAGTCGCTCGGTCTGGGACGGGCTGAAGCTGGCGCTCAAGGATTACCGGCTATACCTTTTTGTCTTGCTGCAGCACTTGTCCTTGCTCAGCCAGACATTCCAGTACTTCTTCCCCAGCATCGTGGGCACTCTTGGATACGGCAAGATCGAAACGCTGTGGTTGACGGCTCCCGTGTGGTTCGCGACCTTCTTGATCTCCGTCTGTGTGACGTGGACGAGTTCCAAGACGGGCGATCGCAGCTTGCACATTTTCTTCTTGATGTTGCTGGCCGCGGTAGGAAATGCGGTGGCGACGGGCACGACCAAGGTGGGAGCAAGGTTCTTTGCCATGTTCTTGATGCCCATGGGAGCAGTTTCTTCTTGTGAGTAGTCTTTTTGTTGGGTTATCGTAGTTCCTGGTGAAAGATGAGACTAACAAACCCCAGATCAAATCATCCTGTCGTGGGTTGCCAACTCGTTCCCTCGTCCTATGGTCAAGCGCTCGGCTGCTGTGGCTATTGCCAACATGTTTGGAAACACGGCGAGTATTTACGGGTCGTACATGTACCCGGCATCGGCGGCGCCACAGTACATACCCGGAGGTAGTGCGAATTCTGTAATCTGCATTTTGGTGGGATTGTTGGCTTTGTTCTTGCGCTACCTGCACAAATGGGAGAACAAGAAGCTGGAGAAGGCCGAGGCAGAAGAGGCTGAGAACCCAGAGACTGCGGCTGTTGCGGCGTCGGGTGATAGGAGAGCAGTGGGATTCAGGTATATCTACTGAGCTCAGAAGGATTAGCTAGTATCGAGATAAGTAGTGATTACTTATCCATCTGTATTTCTTGCCGTATCGTAGCTCTTCGTTGTGATATCACCCTGCCGTAGGAAGAAAGGGGCATAATTTCAATGGTGTAAAATAGGAGTCGGTAACTTCAGTCGAAGAAGGTAAAATTTGATCGATTGCCCAAACGCCAGATGCTTAAACTCCGAACCATAGATGCAGACAAAACAACGCCGAGAAGCTTTTTGCTTTTGACTCTCAACAACAACAACCCTATCCCATCAGTTCTACACCATTCCGTATCGCACCCACTACCGCACCAGTCTGGATCACCTCTCCGGCTCCGCTCGCTACCCGATGCTCAATCTTGGCAAGTTCATCAAGCCATGTGATCATGACCTGCGGCTTGACTTCCAGCTTGACGATCTCTTCCGACAGAGCGGTGATAATGTCGGCAAGGGCCAAACCTTGTGCAACCTTGAGGGTGTTGATAGTCGACAGACAGGTTGTGACGTCGCTCGTGCTCAAAAGTGTGCTGAGGATCTTTTTGATGGCGTCGGGTGGTGGGGCGGCAACGCAGTCGTAGATGGTTCGAATGGTGATGGTTTCCCGTACAATGTCCTTTTCGGCGATCTTGGGGGCGTTCTTTGGTTGAAGTGGTGTGCCTGGTTGACCTGGGTTAGCTTGAGGCCCGCAACAGAAGGCGAGACGAGGATACCACCACTTACTTGACGCGTGACAAGCCTGTAGAACGTTTAGTGCCCGACGCATATCACCCTTGCTCAACCGCACCAGCGCATCGGTAGCATCTGGCAGAATCTTGACGTTTTCCTCGTCAATGACCTTGTCCACCAAGACACGAATATCTTTTTCTTTTAGAGGGCTGAAACGGAACCGTGTGCATCTCGACAGGAGCGCGGGGCTGAGCTTGTGGGAGTAGTTGGCAATGATGCAGAAGCGAGTGTTGGCCGTGTACTTTTCCATGATGCGACGGAGGGCCATCTGCGCTGTGGACGTCATGGCATCAGCCTCGTCGAGAATGATGAGCTTGAAACCAGCCAGCCCCGAGCGCGAAGAGGAGGAGCCGAGGGAGAAGATCTGCTTGGTGGAGGCAAAAGTCTTGATTTGCTCGCGCACAACGTCGATACCACGGTCATCGGAAGCGTTCAACTCGAGCACCATCTGGCGCATGTTGGCGGCGCCATAGATTTGTCGGGCCAGGGCGAGAACCGTCGATGTTTTGCCGGTACCGGGGGGACCGTAGAATAGGAGATGAGGGAGTCGGTTCGTGTCGACAAACTTGTTGATGGTTGCGAGAATGTCTTGTTGGCCAGACACATCGGAGAGAGATACGGGGCGGTACTTTTCGACCCTGTCACAGGCTGGTTAGACATTGAATGGGTTGACTAAAGTGAATAGGGGGCGATTCCTACCATGGGAGACTGTCTTCTGCTTCAACGGGCAGATTGGCGGCGCTTCGCTTGCCCTTGGCCGTATTGGTGGCGGCGAACATGACGTCCTTGGACACTGGGACATCAATGTCCATTTCGTCTTCAAAGTCCGACATGGTGGTAGAATTGGGCTGAGTTGCTGATTTCGAGGCTGATGTGATCCGAAGTCTACTCTGGAGGTTTTGCGCCGACGTGGAATTCGTCGTTTGTTGGTGTTTTTGACTTGGTGATGCCGGGAAAGTTAATCTGGGAAAACGCGTCGAGAGGAAGGACAGACGCGTCAGGCAACAGGCCCCTCGTGTGGCTGGTTAATTGGTTTTGGGCGCCGAGCCACACACTGTTAGTGGAGCACTGACACCTGAGCCACAGTTTGGTGAAGCTCAACTGTTCTTCATCCGTTCAGTTTCTTCAACTTTACAACCTCAAAGGCTCACCTTCACTTCACTCTCCTTGTTCTCTAGTATGGAATATACTCATAGAACTCAGTTCATCTTCCCCCTTTCCTCAAAGAATCGGACCATCGATTACATACAACAAAGTTCAGGCACACAGTTCTGGGTCGCGACGCCAATATTGAGGATGCCCGACCAGGTGACCCCCTCGTCAACCGGCCTCATCCCTCCCTCTTAACCCAACTCAAACCTCTCCCACTTCTCTTCAACTCGATCCCAAGCGTCTCTGTACATTCGACCCACACCCGCACGCTCAATACGAACCCGACCATCTGTCCCTGGATCATCCCTCCGTTCGATCATCATGACGTTGACCACGGCTCTCTTTTCGGCTGTTGCAGCTTGTACCAGTTCCTCTTGCTCGAACCCGTCTGCGTCCGAAAGAAGGATGAACTCGTGTGTAACCTTTGAAACAAGACTCAACCGTTGTTCAACAAACTTTTTCCGGTGGGACCATGACAACCATATTGATCCAATCCACTCGTGATCACCTCCCTCAGGATTCGTCACATATGTGATGGCATACCGCGTCAACCGTGTTGGCCGGACCCGAGGTAGTGCGGGGACCGCATCCTCATTGCCTCGGTCCTCAATCATGAGTCTAAACCGGGCGAGGCGAGCTTTCAGGTGTAAAAAGTAGGGGTCCAGGCCAAGGCTGATTTCTGTTTGATATCGACCAGTGCTGTTGGCCGAAAAGTCAGCACCAGAGTCGTAGTAGACTGGTATTGTCCACCCGGCCCATGCCCAACTTGGCCACAGGGGTCTTTCTGTCTTCTCATCCACATGGATTCTCTTCGGCTCCCGTCGTGGTCGCCAAAGAAGCCCCGGATGCAGGAGCTCACCCGTGGGCATCCCGTGCACAAACTCGACATTCTGAGAAGAGAAATGATCTTTGATCACGTTCAAGATACCCTGGATTCCATTCACACGGTCGGTTATGAATGTCATATTGCGACATGTGTACTGCCCTACCAGCTCGGGATATCGCTTGTGCTGGAACTTCAAATTAGGCCGCAACGCAACCGTGGGAGGAACTTCACTGGGAACAATACTGAAGTTTACCACCTGGTCAGCGGCGGTCAAGTCCAGGTCCCGACACTCGGCCGCAAAGTCTTCACTCCAAGTGGCTTGTTGACACTGGAAGTGTACCGTGTCATCGACAAAGTACATGTAGCGCAGGGACAGAATGCGCTCCTGGTACGTCCATCCTCTTTCCTCCCATGTTGTTTTAAGCAGCGCATCCGGCCAGGCAACAGAGCGATTCACAATGCCAAGGTCTTGTGATATCTTGACTTCTTTCTGTCTGGCTTCCCGCGTCCCAGCCTCTACCCCAGGCAGACCAGCGTTCGCATCCTCTCCACTGGCAGCCACTACGCTAAGGTCCGCGTATTGGTAGATCTTTCCCATCTGCCCTATTTGGTACCTTTTATCAAGGTTCTTGTAGGTGTCGGTGTCATCGTCCTGGATGATGCAGATGGAGTCGATCCAGATGTAACGATATCCAATTCTTTGCGCCAGCGTCATTGCGTCCCTTATCGAGCGCGGGAACAATGACTTGTTTCTCTCTATCCCACCAGGAAGCCTCAGCTTGTCGATATCTTTTTCACAGGTCTTGAAGACTTTCACCCGACCCCAGACGTAGCTCAGTGCCACGTACGGTACAAGATCGTTTCTTTCGACCAAGCACTTCTCCTCGAGGTCAATGAGTCGGATAAATGGGAAGAATGTGGGTAATGCACTCTGCTGTCTCATCCAGTGGGAGCACTCCGCTCCATGCCATTCCCTGCAAGATTTCAGCCAGGTCCTGACAAGATCTACATCGATCTGACCTTGGTTGAGAAGTCTCCCTTGGAATAGTTCCCCCTTTTTGCCAATCGGCACGAGGTCGAAAGGTGTAAATGCCGGCGCTCTTCCGATCATAATCGACCGAACCGTGAGCCTCAATGTTTCCCACGTCTCCATGCCCCCTACTCCGTCAGACAGGTCATGATTGGGCGAAGCTTTCTTCTTCCACCGCACGTCTCCGACCCAGCTCATGACTATATCAGCCTGATCTGTCCAAGCGATATCTTTGCAAACTTCAGCAATCAGCTGACACAACTTGCACCACGATCGCCGTGCCGCTACCTCATCATAGGTCCCGAGATGCCATTCTGGAGGAAGTTGCTGGGTAAATGGCCGAGGTCCAAAATCGGCGCGTCTGAGGTCCATGAGACGGTGCCGGGCGCAGAGACCAAGGGTCGCATCTTCCGGTGGAAGGTCTAGCGGCCGATTCCATGCTCGGCGTGGTGTGTCTGTTGTTTGGAAAAGATCATCATGGTGAGTCTCGAGTCGGGCGACCTCTTGACCTGGTGGAGGGATATAGTCGCGGTCCCTCGGCGTGTAGGTAAGTGGCATCGTTGTGGTTCAGACAAAATTTGAGCGGTATGCGAGTTGTGTGACAGAAACAGCTGCGGCTTGAAGAGGCTCATTGAAGAGCCCAATGCAACCTCAAAGTCCTGGGTGACTGTGAGGCTTTGAAGGAGAAGATTGGGGATGACTCGGCCCAACCTTACTTATATCCACGCCAACAGCACAAAATCCCGTGGGACCCCGCTGTGACACACTCACAAGTTAGGCAAGTTAAAAGATCAGCCCCAACTAAAGCCGTGGCGCAGCTGAGCCTCAAAAATACCCACTTCCAGCTCATTGGGTATACCATGATCACGAAATCTCAACGTCGCTACTCGACATTGCTATCTGTCTCGAAAATGGAGTCGTTTTCAACAACTCAGATAACAAAGCGAGGGATACGCTTCCAAACATGACGCTGATTTGGGTATAGGGTACACTTCATTGGACAGACACGGGGTCGCCATATGACACATGGAGAAAGACTAAAGTGAAAATGTGCTCTGGAGAAAATAAGCGGCATCTATGCCCGGATCAAAATATTTGAAGGACGCAAAGCCCTTAGACAGCTGAGTGTTCACACAGCCCCGAATAGCAAGTCACCACCTCCTTCTCCTAGGCCGCAACTTCCTCCACCACTCCTTCCGCCATTCCAGCCACCACGTTGAGCTTGTGACACTACAAACCAGAAACACCACCACCGTCATGGGTACCGAAAACGCTACCCAGATCCAGAAACTCTTTTGAACAACCCCGTCTCCTTCTCCTCTTCCACCACCTCCACCTCCGCCTTCTCCGCCCCCTCGACCCGGAGAGTCATAACCGTCGACAGCCTCCCACCTGAAAGCCGGCAACGCAAAAAGCGTAGCAAAGAAAGTCGCCGGCAGAAAAGCCATGGTCATGACGGCTATGACACGCATAGAGGAGGCCTCTCGGTGGTTTGTAGATGCATCAGTGCGCGAGATTCTCGCCATAAGCACGTTGGTCCACACCACTGCCTCTTTCTGGCGACAAGTCCAACCAAAGATACGAGCTTTAAGTTGAGGAATAATAAGCTCGCGAACCACAAGACGAATCTCGGCATTCGCTTCCTCCGTAACAGGATCCACAGCATCAGCACCAAAAGTCAGTCTTCGCCAAAGTTTCCGCCCCTTCAGCTGCCTCGCCATCCGCAACGCCAATCTAAGCGCCGACTTGGCCTCCTGCGCCTTGGTGACCACCCTTCCCAGCTCTCTACACCGTCTCGACAGCGTCTCCATCAACACCGGCGACAATTCCATTGCGTCCGTGTATATTTCATCCGAGGCCTTTGCCCCTTGTTGTTCTTCTTCCCCATCCCTGGCGTTCTTCATTTTCATCTCCCTCCCATTTTCTTCCCTCCCCCCTTGTCCAGAGACATCATCACCCCTCCAAACAACACCCCTCGCCACATCCGCCACCACCACCACACACCCCCCCGCACCCGCCAACACATCTCGGAACTCCCAAATATGATGCTTGACAACGGCAAACTTGTACTTCATCCTTTCGTCCACTAGACAGATACCCAGTGTAACTCTGCGCAAGACGTTGTAGCTCCAGATGGTGGTAACGTCGTTGGAGCGCATGTAGAACCTTTGTGTCTGTTCATCTGACGGCCCGAGTTTTCCCTGGGAGGAAGAAGAGGAAGTAGAGCTGTGGCTGTGGCAGTTGAGAACGTGCAAGCCGGGTGTGTGGGTGTGGTGGAGGTAAAGGGCGTGGGGGTCGAGGTTGAGATGGCGAAAAAGGAGGAGGAGGAGGGGAGGGGGTATGAGGAGGGAGGAGGAGCGGTGGGGGGAGTGGGGGATGTGTAGGAGGCGGAGGAAGGCTTTGGGGTTGGGTTTGGGTTTGATATCAGCGGAGGTGGTGGTGGTGGTGCTGGAGATTGAAGGGGGTTTGGAAGACGATGGGGGTTGAGGGCGGGAGGAGGAACCGGAAGTGGAGGGGGGAAGAGGTAGAAGTGGGGTTGGTTTCGTGAGTAAGTCCTCGAGGGCGCGGGATTTGAGGAGAGATTGGGGGATAGTGGAAATGCCCCAGGAGGTGAAAGTGGAATCGGGCCAGGAGACGATACCGAATTCCTGGATGAGCGGTTCAGAGTTGTTGAAAGAGAGGATAGGCGGCCAGGTGTCGGGATCAGAGTTGTGGTCGAGGTCAAGGTTGGAGGTGGGCAGACCAGCTGCTTCGTGGGCTAGGTGGCGGAAGCCGTTCATCGGGACTTTTGGACGAGGTTCTTTCTTTAAGACGACAAAAAGCGAAATGGAGATGACAGTGACGGTAATGGTTCAAGTGATACCCTGAACCTATATACCCCATTACAATCCCAATCCACATCTAGTCCCGCGAACCAAAACGACGGAACGCTGCATCTCTTATACTTCCCAATCCCAATCCCCACCCCCCAAAAGTCCAAGAGGCAAGACATCGCACCCTCGAACCACGGTTCATGCCCCACCACCGGGCACCACCGGACCTCTCCGTCCATTTAACATGAACACAGCCTTTGACAGCATCGTACACTCAGAATCATGCATGCAAGTAGCCTGACCGCCGACCTAGGCAGGTAGGTAGATATGTCTCGATCATCCCCTTTCACCAAGGTCCGCATTGTGAACCCCCCTCTCTCCCAAGGCAAGGCGTCAGGTTCCCCTTGTGTTATGTTACGCCTGTAGGGGCGGTAGGCGTAAACTGATGCAGAAGAAGAAGAGGAAGCAAACAGCGAGGGTCGTTTTGTAAGGCTGTCGAGACAAGTGGGACAAGTAGGACAAGTAGGACAAAGGAAGACGGCAGGCAGGGGGGTCATGCAGGATCCCTTTTGGTTCCGAGACGAGACGAGGAGGGGAAGGGTGGAGGAAAGATCGGTGAGAGGATAAAATGAAGGAAACTACCTCGGTACGAAAGATTTCGTGGCTTTGTACGGGTAGTTAGGTTGAGTCCTTCTACTGTGTAGTGGAGAGATGAAGCTCAGGTTTTGGGAAGTGATGAGGGGGATGGTTTTGTTGGATCTCAGCTAGTTTCGTCGAACACAAAGGGCCCGGTCGACTTGACTGAGTGAACGAGTTTGAACTGGTGTCGGTATTGATATGACTTCAAGGTATACTTCAAGATGATTCGACTTGTACTAACGGGTCACTAACCATTAAGGCTCCTGGGTATATACACAGAGGCAGGCTTCTGCTCGGGTATATATTGTCCACTACTACTTTACTACGGCGCTATTGTGTCGAGCATAGAGACGGGCTGACGGGAGAAGGATGTTAGAGACCATCGCCACACCAAGCGGCTGAAGGAGTTTCATGGAGAACTATAACCACAAGTGAATGGACTTTTATCTCCGGACGCAAAAAGGTGACGACCGCCCAGCTTCCTGCTCCAGGCAACTTCAACAGCGACGGCACTCAACGGGGTTGAATTGAACCCATACGGTCGCAGGTGAACTCGCAAGTGAGCAAGCGCTTCTAAGAGCTGTTATAAAAGCCTGAAAATGTGCAAAAAAAGAAAATGTGAAAAAAAAAAAAAAAAAAAAATGCGGACTTACAGCTACCGGGTTCGAACGCATAGCGTACAAGAGAGCCGGGGGACACAGGAGGAAGGAGTGGGGACCACGCGAACGTGCCCGCTGCACCAACCTACCAGCTTGCCACGAAAGTTGTCTTGGGAGAAGTAATACATATGCCCTACGACAAGGGCTGGTTTGCAGTCTAAGTCTAGATGCTATTGAGAGATCTTTACACTGTTTTAATATCGTCGGCCTGATACATTCTTGGGTTCCTCGAAAAGCCATATCACTCCCTCCTCCGCTCAACCTCCTCCTCGTCCCCCTCCCTCCTTGCCACCTGCTGCTCCCCCTCTTCATGCCTGTTCAACTTGATATTGATAAACATGGTAAAAATCCCCAAATCATACGTCAACCTCAGCGCACCTGCCACCACAAACGCCACCCAAAACCTTCCTCCGTCCGCCAACACGCCCGTGACACTCGGTCCCATAGTCGACGCGAGGGTCCTCAAAGTCCCCGTGATGCCCATGACCGCCGTCCTCTCTTCAGGCTTGACCACCGCGGCAATCAGCGCCGCCCTTGGCGCCTGGTCCATGTTGTTCAGCCCGACTCTGACCAACAGCAAGGCAAAAGTCGCCGTGACGCTCTTGGGCAGAGGGAAGAAGAGCACCGCGGCCGAGGATGGAATGTGCGTGAACACCATGGTGTTGACCAGGCCAATGTGTCGAGCCATTGGTCCCGCAAAGACGGACGACAGAGCAGCAAGGAAGTAAGCGACAGACAGGAAGTCGCCCAGCATCGACTTGGGTAAATGGAACTTTTGGTCCATGTAGTACGTCGTCCAAGACATGGAGACCATACCATCCGCGAGGTTGTCGACCATGAGCAGCGCCCAAAGAATGAGCATGACGGAAAGTGTCGACCGGGAAATCTCCACCTTGAACCATCCTTTTTCCTTTTTCTTTGGTTCTTCTTCTTCTTCTTCCCTCTCTCCCCTCTCTTCCCTTCCCACAGCGGCCGACGGCCCCGCTGCCGCCAACAACGGCTCCGTCTCCCTCGTCGCATCCGTCTCCGGCTCCAACACCTGCACCTGCACCTGCACCCCCTTTCCCTTTCCCTTTCCCTTGCCCCCTCCCAACTCGCACCGCTCCGTCATCCCCCAAACCCCCGCAACATTAACAACACCCATAACCACATACCCCCAAAACACCGCATGATACGCCTCCCTCCCCTCCCACTTTCTGTGTTCAACCAACCACTGCACCACCCGTCCGGCAACCGCCGTCCCCGCACAACTCCCCGCACTACTCATAGCAACATACCACCCCAACACCTCCGCCCTCGTTTCCGCTTCCGTCAACTCAGATACCATACTCTCTTCAATAGCCCTAAACGGCCCAAAGTCGCTTCCCGTCGCACTAATCACCCCCACCACCGCCGCCGCTAGCAACACAAAGTAATTTTCGCATGTGGCAAACACGGTGCCGGAGCAAATCATCATGGTTGCGCCGATGAGCAGGGTGCGTCGGCGGCCTAAGCGGTCGGCGATGAGCGTGAGGAGGAGGGAGAGGAGGACGTCGCCTACGAGGGTGAGGGTCATGAAGAGGCCGATTTGGGTGTCGGAAAAGTGCAAGGAGGAGAAGAAGAGGGCGAGGATGAGGGAGGAGGCGCCGTAGGAGAGCATGCGGGTTGTGCGGTTGAGGATTATTAGGAGGGCGTCGCGGGGGGTGGAGAGGAGGGAGGGGAGGCCGGTGAGGGAGAGGAGGCGGGTGGTTATTGTTGGGGTGGTGGGCTGTTCTGGAGGCATTTTGAAGGCTTGGTTCGTTGTGTGGTTGTTGATTCTGTGAAAGGTTTGGTGGGTTGAGATGGTGGTGGTCGTGTTGGTGTTGGTAGGGTGTCGTACCCGGGTGTGACCCAGGTAGTTGACTGATGTATGAAAAAGAGATGGATGAATGACGGGAGAATGGCAGATAATTGTGAAAGTCGGCGAGTCAATGGCGAATAAATAAAAATCAAGAGTTAAAGAATATTTTCAAAATATCTCGTGACAAAGAAAGTATACAAGAAACTGACGACGATGTTGACTCTACGATGTTGACTCCGACGTTGACTCAAACTTTTGAATCCTTCTCCGCTCGGAGCCGAACCGGCGATGATCAATTTTCAGTACATAGTATGTATCTCGTCACCGCTAACCCTGTCGCCATCATTCTTCGTATGACGCGTCCCATTCATTTATGGAACCCTGAATGAGCCCTTTCCCAAGAATTCAGTTGATTGGGTTGGTTGGTCGGCGGCGGCGGCGGCGTCGGTCACTCGGTGATTGTCCGGATTTAACGACAGACACCATACAGTTAACTGTAACATCAATATTCAACATCAACATCAACACGACTCACAACAATAACACTAACAAAGACATTGACAACAATGACAACGCTTCAAATCCAAAGACAAAAGACAACAGACAAATCATAAGATTATACTATACTACACACGCACCCCAAACATAGGTAGCTTTCCCACCACCCACCATTCTCACTCAACTATAGTACAACCCTCGCTTAACTCAAAGACGCATAATTCCACAGGGCCCCTTTGATCATGTCAGTGACGTCCCTGAACACTCGCCCAAAGCCCCTCATCATCTTTCCCCTCCTCTGTCCTATACGACTCCCCCCTCTTTACTTTCTCCGCCGCCTCTTTCGCAATCTCCCTGATGGCTCTCGACCCCAGAGTAAACGGGGTGTAAAAGAGGTAATCATCCGGGACGTTGCAAACCGTCTCTGTCCTCTCTTCTTCTGCTTCTCTTCCTACTTCTTCTGCTGCTGCCACCGGTTCCGCTGTGGTGGTTACTTCTTCCCTCCTCCTCCTCTTCCTCCTCCTCCTCCTCCTCTTCGATCCTACCCCCTCCGCTTTAGCTTGCTTAGAAGCCGCAGCTTCAGCAAAAGCCTTATTCAAATCCGTAGCAGTTTCCGTTTCCGTCTGAGAATCTGTAGTTTGCTGCATAACCAACCCCTCGTCTTCCAAGTCCAGCACCAGCTCCGTCTCCGACTTGACCGGCTTCACACATGGCTCCCATACTTTTTTATACCACTGAGTCATCGGCTTTTGGCCCAAGCCGTTGCCGTCGCTGAGGCCAGAGCTGCGCAGTTGGCCTTCTATCAGGGCGGAAGTAATGTAGTCGACCATGTCGTAGGTGATGAAGTCGCGTACTGGCGGTGGCTGCTTTTTGGGTTTTGGGTTCGTGTTCTGATGATCGACATTTTCGGCAGATTTTGTTGTCTTCTTGCCGCTTGTAGAGCTACGTTTTGTCCCGTTCCCGTCTTCTTCTTCTTCGCTGTTCTGACCATCAAGTGACGTATCTACTACTTCGTCTTCTTCGGTGTTCAGATAAAACTCGTCCGGCCCAATGACATCCGATTTGTCCACCCACGCGTACAGCTTGTCCCCCATGACTTGGTTCCAAGTGTCCGTCAACTTGGCCGCGTTGCGCATCTGCTCGGCTTTCGAATGCGGGGGCGGTGTTTCCGGGCGGTTGGAGTTCCACCCAGGAGCCATGGAGATGTCGAACAGGCTGGGAAAAAAGACGCGAAAGGTCTTGGGTTGCGACGACGAGTTCTGCGTCTTTGTATTTTGTACGGAGCCAGAGATGGGATCGGTGGCCTCGCCGGATTTAGCTTTGTAGACTTCTGGATCTATGATCTTGATCGGACCGGCATTGGTCTTGCGTGAGAGATGGCTGGGGTTGGTAGACACCGCGGTGGTGTCTTTTGTTATGGTGCTCTCATAGAGACGCTCCATTTGTTCAATCACATGATCGGTTAGCTGATCGATGACCGCCTTGCCTGTGGCAATTGGGAGCGTGGCTAGTGACCAGACATCCCATTGTCCCAAGTTAAAGACCCAGAGGGTCTCATTCGCTTTGGGGAGAGTGGTTGTGTTTTGCAATTCTAGGAAGGCTGTCACTTGGGCACTCAGGTCTGGTAACGCTTTGGACACGGGGAACAATCGAGGCTGAAAAGTGTAGTCGTAGCCTGGACCTTGGGTCTTCTTCAGCTTTGTCGTGTTCTTAATTGTCTGCCTGACGGCTTCGACGTAAATATCTTTTGAGATGAGGGGGTGTGCCGGCGGGTGAAGGTTGGGAGGTATGAAGGAGAGGTATTGGGAGCAGTTTAACTGGCAAGATACACGTTAGCAACGATGAGGAGGAAAAGCGTGCAATGAGAACAGACTAACCTCGCGGCACATAAGCTCGGTCCAGCCAGGAGACCGCATCTCCTTCTCTCCCTGCGTCCAAGCAGGAGTCGCTACATCGTCCTCTCCAAAGACAACGACGCGGAGTCCGCCAGGATGTGGTTGCGACTGGAACTCGTAGTGTGCCTTTTCGTCCTTGTTGTCTTCGCTTTGGTTGTCAGACCAACGGAAGAGATCGTTTGAGGATAGGTCATCGCCAAAGCCCCTACTGATGACGAGTAGAGTGGCGAGGATGAGAGTTGACCCGACGACAAGTTGCAGTAAAAGTCTGGGTCCTTTGTGTAGTACTCGCGCGGAGAAGAAAGAGAGGAGCGCCTGAAAGTCACATGGCTTCATTGTGCCGGAGGGTTGGCCATGAAGAACCATGGCGCTGTGGGCGAGTTGGGTTGACGGCGGAGTGGTGGCAGAGTGTCCTCGAGAATTCGCGGTCGCGATGCGCTGCTGGGGATAGATGACTTGACAAGCGGGAGTAGTTGATGAATTTCGAGTGGCAATACTGTATTTGGGATGTAGTAACAAACGCGGTGTCAATGCGAGAGATCACCGTCCGGGTAAGGCGCATCAAGGAAGATGGCGTCAAGGTTCGGTCTTAAACGAGAGGCACCGGAGGGGCGGAAGTAAGGTAAGGAACGAGATGGGTTTCTGCTGAAGGGGTGTTGGGATGGATGTCCCGTGCACAGCGCCCTGTCGAACGGGACGATTCACCTGGTACCTAGCTGACTACCTGAAAAACGACGGCGGGATACGAGTGTCTGTGTTGCAATGGCCCGGGTCTGGATCAGCGCTCCGGGGGACGGCCCGTGCCAAGTCCCTGCCAAGACGGAACTTCAGGGGCAATCAACGGGGTTTCCACGGTCGCCAAGTCCTGGGAATCGGCGAAGATCCGGGGCCTATGGAATTGTGATGGAACTCCGCTGTGGATTAGTGATTCCGTAGGTAGAGTTGAGACAAAGAAAAGAAACTGAATGTGCATTCAGGACAAGTAAGAGAAGCCGAGTAAAAGTAGGAAAAAAACATACAATGCGCCGTCCAAGCGCAAGTCAAACTTTGTAAATGAACGATTCCCAGAGCGGATCCATACCCCCATGACCCTTCTATTCCCGGACCCCCTCGAAGCCACACCGGCGGCGCCCGGACGCGTCATGTATCGATAGCCAGGGTGAGGGCCGCGTAAGTGGTCTCCGCAGGGCGAGAGCACACTACGTACCTCTATGTATGCACTGCGGAGAGCGAGACGTCATGCTATACCGATACCGCTTCCGTCTTCCCATCAAGGAAGCATGAAACACGCGCTTCGTCACCCGCCGCGTCCTCGGTTTCTCATCATCTAAGGCGCCTCGTCTCGAGCCATGCCCCCAAGATGGCCAAGCCAGCAAATGCCGGGAACATTTTGCCTTGAGGGAAGTCGTTGACGTCGCCGAACTCGGGATCGGTTCCTGCAGTGTTGGGATACAAGATGGCTGCCAACCCTGCCAACCAGTAGACACTTCCAAGGAAGCCCGCCGTGCGCAAAGAATCCTTCATCCGCTCACGCCTCTCGACCTGTACGGCCGGTGTGGGGACCGGGCCTGATTTGGCTGGGCCGCATGGCAGCCAGGTGTAAAAGAGGGTTGCGAGGCCCAGGACCACGGATAAGGTAATGGTTTGGCCGCAATGAAATCTGTCAAGGCTGGTTCATTATGTGTTTTCCTGCAACTATGTGACAAGACGGGCATACTTTGCATGTGGCTTCCAGGCCGGATTAAAGATGTGGGTTTCATTGTAGTCGGCCACCGGGGCACCGATGAGGAGAATGAGGGCGTCGATGGTAAGGAGGATCTTGCCGAGCATGGTGATTCGTTTGTTTGGAGGTGATCTAGGTGGTCTATGTTTGGTATTGGCCGTTGAAAAGAAGACGAGACGTCGAGTAGAATAAAATGGTGGCCGTCGGTTTCTGTGTCCGGTTACTCAAAACCCGCAACTTCCCTTGATGTCACGAACGGGACACTGACAGTGGATTCATGCCGTCATGGTATCTAACAGTTGCGCATATTTCCACTGGAAGTAGCACATGATACCAAGTAACGCACTGGGTGTTTGGCAACATGACCACTTTCACAATGAAGGCATTCGGCGTCGGGTGGTGTTAACGACGGAACACAATAAACAGACTTGTCTACAAGGAATTCATCTGACTGCGCAAGGAGTGAATGGCTTCCTCTTGGTTTCCTGATCACAGTCAGCTACCAAGCAAGCAAGCCCGGTTTCGTGGTGACCATCGTGGGACTATGTTTGTTAGTTGTGTTGAGCGGGAGACGGTGGGTGAAGCCCTAAAGAAGCCTGCCACAAAATGCCCTGGGGCGAGCAATCCCTCGGCTGCCCTGGAGGCTGAAAGCGGTGCCGCCTTCCTCCCGCCGCCGGCCCCCCCGCAAAAACTCTCAAACCGCCCCCAAAACATGACACTGGATTCGCCGCCAACCAACCAACAACGAACCACCAAACAACCAACAACTAACCCATCCTCCTCCTCCCTTCAATTCTCTTTCGCAAATTGAAAACCGTAGCCTCAACTAGTCAGGAATTGATCCATCGGTCTTCCCATGTCAATTCGTGCTCTCAATTACTTGCATTGCCTTCTGCCGCTTCTTCCCCGACCTCTCCCTGCTCCCTGCGCAAGAACCTCGATGGCTGCGCTGAATACAGGTACCCGTCCGGAGAAAGAGCGACGGTGAGTAACCCAACGACACCTCGTTCATCATGGTTTGCGATAGACAGGAAAACTGATCTCGAAGCTCTCTCGATAGGATTGACGGTTGATTGTTTCCTACAAACATAGATGAGCCAGCGATTGCCCTGCGGAGGGATATCCTCACTGACGGCCCTGTCTCCGATCTCATCTCCGAGTCCTACACTATAGGCGCCTCGGAGTCGCTGTCCCTCGATCGACGACAGCATGTCTATCGAAACCACAAAAAACATGATTTCACCAAGAAACGAAGCCGCCAAAAAATACAAGGCCGAATTTACAACGAGTGCCAGAACCCTCGTCGGCGCAAAAGGCGCTCGTTGAAAGGCCTGGCTGGCATGTATTCCATCCCAATGTCAGTGTCACGAGCCGCTGTTAGTGCAGCGGGGTTCCTGCAACCAACCCACTACACTCATTAACCCGGGCCCAGGGCGTGTGGTCCACGAGTCCTCCACGAGTCCCCCGGGCCACGGGTGTGACACCCCCAGTGACAGACAGCCGTCTCACACTTCATCCTAACAACATCATGAATTACCTAACGACATTGTTCAGCAACTCGATATATACCAACAAAAATCAATCAATTCTAACTCGAACTTGTCCTCTCCGCAATTATTTCTCGCCAGAACGTACGTTTTCCGGGGACCAAAGCAGTAAAGAAGCCGCCCAAAACCAGTCGTCAAAACCTTTCACGACCCAGCACCATAACCAAGACAAAACAACCGTCGTTACACGGCCGGCCACGGTTCTCGTCCGCAAGCACCTCACCGTCGCGAGCAGCCAATGCTGCAAATCTCCGCTACTCTTCACGCAGCAATTACCTCCCATATCCTCATCGACAAGAAAAAGACCAAAAAGAGATCGGAACGTCATGACAGATCCGTCATCAGTTACCTAGGCATCTCTAATCAGGCCGACTGACTCACAAACGCACATACATGGCTTCCTCCAAGTCATGGCCGTTGGTACCCTTGGGGGGGCGCAACAAAGGTCTGAAGCCGGCTGAAAAGCTTTCAATTCGGGATTGTCTACGTCTAGCGATAATCATCACCCCCGAAGCATTGAGGTTATGAAGGAGGACAACAGATCCGACAACGACATGAACAACTTTTCACGACAACATAGACATTGAGTGTCGACGATCGACTTGCTTGAATGGACTCGATATCCATCAAGGACCAATGTCAACAATATCGCCCGTGTCATATTGATTTGCCCATGTCATGTTGATCTCCACGACAGCCAACAACAACAACACCACCATGACATGAGTCACGAACAACCACCGATAAACAATACAAGACAGACTCGACGTAAGTAAAAAAGTATCATCATTTTCTACCTACTAACACCCCATCCATCCATCCCATCATGCATTCTCCTTCCTTCCTTCCTTCCTAATCTGATCTGATCTTGCTTTACAAAAGCGCAAGGCGCAGCAGAGCAAAGAAACTGAGAAAAAAGAAAGAAAAGAAAAGCAACTTCATCACGAATCATTTCCATCATCACCACGCAGCATAAAACTCCGTTTCTTTTTTTTTTTTCCCTTGCAAGCAATCAATATCCTCCTATTGTTTTTATTCTTCTCTGCTCATTGTTTCTTCTTCTTTTCTCCTTCTTCTTCTTTTCTTTTGTTATTTTTTCCCCCGTCAACTCCTCCTCCTCCTCCTCCTTCTCCACCTCCAAAGTCATCATCCTCCGCTTCTTAATCTCAGGTTGTTATGAGAGTTTGGTTGTGGAAATGCAACGAAGCAACTTAAAAGAACGATGGATGGACTAAGCGTTCTATCATTTCACACTCTCTTTGCCACCCCTCCCCTCCCCCTGAGAGATGGACGATAAAAACTAAAGCCACTGTTCTTCTCTGTGCTAAGGTCCAAGCGGACACATAGTAACGCGCGCGCCGCTGCTAAGATACGATGCTGCTAATTGATCTTGCTACGGAAAGGGGAGATGGATAGAGACGAAAAAAAATGACTCATACGGGGTTGCCAAACCCGAATGATCAAGGTCTTTCTGAGGTAAAAGTCTCAAAGCTTTCTGGGCGTAGGATGGCGATTGTAGCAAGTCAAGAAGCCCTCAGGTAAGTGCCCGCTCCCACCGCAAAGGGTATGCCAGGGCAAGCTGAAGAGAGAACAGGCGAGGAGCATGGCATGACATACACAGATTATCCATAATGGATTTGGAGCAAGAAGGTAGCACATCGGACGGACCCCTCTGGAGCCCTGGTAACGTGAGAGAGAGAGAGACCACCTTCTAGGCAAGGTGGGCCTAGATTGGGCTGGAGAGCGAGCCGACCAAGTGGCCGGGAACTGTTTACTCCTCCTCGGAGCTCTCCTCATCCTCGCTGTCCTCCTCACGATGGTGCTGCGGAGCGGGTTCAGCAGAAATCCTTCCCGTACCCTCGATCGACTCCAGAGGCTCTTGACTACCGGAGCCTTGGCGGCCGGCCTGGGCGCGCAGCTCGTTCAACTGCTGCAGTCTACGCTCTTGCTCCATCTTGCTCATGGGCTTATTCTTCTTAGTCTTCTGCACGGGTTTGGACCGTTGCGCAGCAGGTGGCGGAGGAGGCGCCTGGGCGGCCATGGTACGTTCCTTTTCCCTTTGCAGGTGCGGGAATGCCTTGATGGCGAGATCGTATAGCTGAGTGAGGGCCTCTTGGGAGAGCTGATCAATGTCCAGCTCCAATTCACCCGAGTCGTTCTCACCCGTACCCGTGTCGCTCTTGATAATCTCAATAGCACGCTCAAGTTGGGTGCCTTCCAGCTCGGCAATACCGGCTGCAATAACTTCCTTCTCGACCGTGCCCATCTTGCGCTTTGGAGCGGGTTTCCTAGCCGCCGCCTTCTTGGGCATACCTCCCATACCACCTCCGTGACCGCCCATGCTCGAGTGGCTAACGCTAGCCTTCTTGGCAACATGGCCACCAGCGTGGTGCGAGCTGCCACCGGCCGGCATGGCCTTCTTAGGCTTGCTAACCGAAGGCTTATTAGCATGATGCGACTTTGCAGGCGCGGCCTTCTTGGTCGGCTGCATGGAAGCAATCTTGGACCTCTCCGTGATGATCTGCTTTTGCAGCATGGCCACGACAGACTGAGCAATCTCGACGTCCGCCATATTCGGATTCATCTCGAGCATAATGTCGTTGATCTTCTTCTGTTCTTCCTCCAACCGCTTCATGTAGCTTGCCAAACGCTGCTGGGCCCCCTTAAGTTCCTCATCCACCTCCGGCTCGCCCTCCGATTCAGGCTCCTCCCAGTCCGACTCATCCTTCAACCTAGGGCTACTGTTCGAGGAAAGATGGGGCGCAGGAGCAGGCGCATGCTTAGCCAGCCACTCATCTTTCTTAGACATTTCACGGCGGTAAAGGCTTTGCAGTCGCAGAGCCTGCTCATACACAATGTGCTGCTCGCCGTTGAACAGCCTGCAGTTCTTGATGATCAGGTCAAAGTCCCGCTCGAACTCTTTGGCGCTGGCGTAGTCGCCCGCGTTAAGCTTGCTCTGCATCGTCGACAAGTCCATCGGCTTCTTGATGATCTTGTGGTAAGTCGGGATGTTGAGGGCGACAGGATCAACCGGCTTCTGGAAGGCCTCGTTGAACTCATAGTATCTCTGCTTGCGGAGTTCAGTGAGCACCTCTTCGCAGAAACGGAGTTCGGGGATGAGCTTCTTCTTGCGCTTTGTGTCATAGACGAGGTCCTTGGAATGGGTCGGCTTGACGGGGCGCTTGGCCCGGCTATCGGGCTTGGTCGAGTCGCGGCGAATGAGGGGCATGCCATTGTTGTTGGCAGGGATGGCAAAGGCAGGAGACTCGATGGACTTTGACGATGAGGGAGCGGGCACAGCAGCGGTGTTAACGCGAGGCTGTTGGGGGCGCTGGGGGAGAGGCGCCGACGGAGAAGAGAGATGAGAAGCGGCTCTCGGTTCCGCATGACGGGTCGGGTGCTGCTTCGCAAAGTCCTTTTTCTCCGGCCTCGACGGCTCAAATGCTGGGCAGCCACCAAGTCGAGCCAAGATAGTATCTCGACACAACCGAGCCGCGGCAGTGACGTCATGGTACTCACCGTTGAAGGCGATGGAGTTTTGCACCAGCTTCTCCAAGTCGCGCTTGAAGTCTCCTAGGGTGTGGTACTTAGCCAAGTTCCCGCGGAGCCGCTTCTCCATGGTCTGGATGTCGGTAGGGTCCTTAACCTTGGCCGAGTATTCATTCCACAGGCCCGGCCAGAGCTCCGACACGGGGAGACGGAAGTGATAACCCGCTTTGGTCTTCTTGACGCCAGCCAGCACCTGACGGATCTGGCGATTCATGTAGTCCGAGATGGGCAAGTGGTTGAGCGAGTCATCCGCAAGCGACTTGGGTTCGCTCCTGTCGTGGACCGAGGTAGATGCAGATGACGCGGCAGGCTTACTGTCGACGTCCATCTTGTCCTCCCTTTTGGCCTCGTTCTTAGCGTTGCCCTGATCTGCGATAGGGGACACCTTTGCGCGTTTGGCGACAGGCTCATCTTCGCTGTCTTCCTCGCGTTCTCTATAGGGCTTGGACGACGGCGGGGGCGCATCCGACATGCTGGTGTCTGCGGTGACCGGGGCGGCTGGGGATGGTCGAGACACGTCTTTCTCCTTCTTCTCGTCTTCAGCGGGCGTGGGGGGCGGTACGTCACTGACAGCAGTGTCTTGTGTCTCCGGTTGGGTTGTTGTGGGCGTCGCCTCGGCGGGCTTTGCCTGTTCTGATTTGGCGGGCTCCTCGACGGTGGCAGGTGCATCAGCCATCTCCACGTCCTCTTGTTGTTTCGCAGGAGAGGCGGGAGGTTTTGACGCGGGCTCGATGGCGGGGGTCTCAGTGGCGGGGGTCTCAGTTGCGGCAGGAGCAGCAGCCTCTTCCTTTTCCTTTGCTGCGGGTCCGTCATCCGATTTCGCTTCAGATTTCGCTTCCGTGGCCACGTCAGCTTTTGGTTCGGCCGGCTTGTCCTCCTTGGCCTCCTCGGCAGCGGCAGGCTTCTCTTCCTCCTTGGGCTTTTCCTCGGCGGCCGGTTCAGGAACCTTGTCCTCCCCAGGCGATGCGACGGGCTCCTTTTGCGCATCGCCCGCCGGCACCTCTGGCGCATCGATCTCCATCTTGTCGCCCTCGTCCTTTGGCCCCTCCTCCTCCTTTGCTGGTTCCTCGGCCTTCTTTTCTTCTTCTTCTACTGGAGCGGGCTTTGCGTCCTCTTTTTGAGCCTGCTCGTCACTCTTCGGCTCACCTTCCTTCGACTCTTCCGCTTTGGGGGCGTCTTCTTCCTTCTTGGCTGGTGTGGTCTGTGCTTCTTCCAACAAAGGTTCGTTTTTAGGAGTAGGAAGACTATCGGTTTTGGTTTCTGGCACAAGAGTTTTAGGGGAGACGGCGTCGTCGTGGCTATGGGGAGATATTAGCGTTCATAGGTTCAGGTATTGGATGGGTTGGTGAGCAAAAGGTCTGGGTGGCGAGGCGGCGCAAGTGAATGCGTCATCTTCAGGTGAAGGTAATCTGAGGGACAAGATTGGTAAGGTAACTAGTAAGGTAACTCACCCATTCACTTCTGTTTCTTTTTGGTGATCACCATCTGCAACATCCTTCACTGGCGCATCAGGGGTTGGTGCCGCATCACCAGTAGCATCAGCAGTAGCATCAGCAGTAGCAGTAGCAGCAGCAGCATCACTCTTGGGTGCATCTGCCACTGGCGCATCTGGAGCGGCGGTAGGCGCCTCAGTAGCCATGGTGACGGGCTTCTCGGGCAGAGCCGCGCCGCCGTCAGCTTGTTGACTTGTCATAACTGCCATACAGTAAGATTGAGGAAAAGCTAGAAGACAAGATGAAAGGCTATCCACGTGGATATTGTCTGAGTCTGTGTGTGTGTGCGCGCAACTGAATGGGGGGGGATTGGGTATCTAAGCAATGATCTGGGGCATCAAAACAACTGAAGAAACCGTGTCAGCGAAACGACGTGCACACGATGCAAAAGTAGTTGATTCGATGATAGCCTGAGTTGGTATATAAGTTTAATCAAATGGATGATGTTGTGGTGTGTGCTATCGCACGAGTGCAAAGTGTGTGTGTGTGTGTGGGTGCAGTGTTGTGTTGTGTTGTGTGCGACGACGACAACAACTAGTAGCTGGTTGGTTAAACCGCCGCAAGTGTAGGCAATTGCGACCTGGAAGCGACTGCGAATAGTGGCGTTTGCGATTGCGATGAGATGCGCGCGCGCGACGACGACGATTGAGGTGGAGTGGGAGTACTCGAAAGTCGGCAATTGCGCGAGGGTTGGGGTTGCGAGAGGCGCGAGTGGTGGTACGTGCACACGCGTCGGTCGGGTCGGATCAGGTCGGGGGATGAGGGGAAAAGAAAATCGGAAAAGAAGGGGGGAAAGAAAATAAAAAAAATAAAAAACGTTGCCACCACTCACAAGTTTGCGAAGTTGCGCGGGCCAGGGGGGGGTCGAGGCTGAACTGATCAAAGTCCGGTGTGGGCCTTCAGCCTTGCGTTGCAATGCAACGAATGTGTGGGCGATACGATGTCGGGGGTGAAAAAACGTCGTGAAATCAGAACAGTCGGGGGGAGGAGGCTGGAGTGGTGCGGTCGGGTGGTGCAGACCGCGGATCTGATTGGATGTGGCTGGGCTGGGCTGGCTGGTTGGGCGGGCAACAGCAAAAAAAAGATATTTTTTAGTCAAGGGTTGGAACTTTTTGGACGGAGGGTTCGCAGGTTCTCTTGTACAAGTCACAAGAAACGACGGATGGGGGGGAGTGGGGAGAAAGCGGCTGGCGTCGCGTCAGAGTCGAGCAGCAGCTACACTAGTGGAGGGGGGTTCGTGGCTGCTGTGTTGCTCGGGGCTGCTGATTGGCCGGATGGTCGGTAGCGGGGGGGGGGGTGTCTTGTTTGTGTTGCGCGTCGCAGTCTCCCTTTTTTTCCCCAAAAATTCGGGGGTGAGAGAACACATGTCAGTCCCGGTCGGCAGCTCGACGCTATTTATGAAAGCTGTCCGAGCTCCCCAGCAGCGACGAGGCCCTGCGGGTGGCTCCGCCTTCTGACTGGTTCCCTTGGTCGGTGGAGGCGGCTTTGGAGCGTCTGGTTGGCCACTCTGTCGCATTGTGGGCCGTGCGCGATCGACACCAGGGACACTGGAGTCTGGAGGTGCAACCACAAGCGTCCGTATCACCAAGACCTTGGACGCCTTTGATGTTTTCACCGTGGTACATATATTGGCCAGTTGTCCTCATCTTCTTCGGTTTCGTTGCTTCATTTGATTTTCTTTTCACCTTGGATTTCGCCAGATTCGCCGCCTTTCCTCAGGTTATTCATCCTGGATGCAAGAATGTCCAAGAGCACTGGCACAAAAAACTTGTTGGGCTCGGACAGACTCGCGTTCGGGGATATTGCATTGGTGCAGGTACAAGCCCGGATACGACTGGTTTGATGTCCTCAGTCGCCATGATGTCTTCGAAAAGGGTAAAAAAAACATGTCAAGGAGTGTCAAGGAAATATCGATGGCTAAGAACGAGAAAATGTCGACAAGCAACGAACAAAGCACTCAGCCTCTTCCTGCCTCGGTTTCGTATCGAAGCTCAAAGGTCATCGGAGAGAACCCAGCAAATTGCAGCAAGCAAAACAAGCAAACGGCAACGGCAGCGGGAGGGTGAGAAATGGCATCTTTCTTTTCGCTGGACAATGGGAGCCTGCGGTAGCAACCACGGCCGACTCTTTGAACGACGGGATTGAACCTTGGATGCTGTAACGGGGGCAAGCCGACATGTGAAACGTTTGTTGCACTCGACTGCAATCTGGCTGCAAACGGCATGCCACGACTGGAGATAAGAACGCGATAACTTAGACGAGCTGGATAGTTCTGATGAAGCCGTTGTTGACCACAGCAAGGTTGAGATTCAAGGTGAGGAAAGTCGACCAAAGAAAGAGAATGAACGAGACCCAAGACCTTTCTTATAAGTGCATGTCTTTTGATATTTCCTCTTTCGGCGGAGATATCAAAGATGCAAGTGGACGGGAAGAAGAAGACGCGGAAGGTGGGTTCGTGGGAGGGGGTGCGAAATCAGACCGACGACCGAGCCCTTTCCCATCGGACTGTAGTACCTATACGTGCAGGTAGGTAACATTGCTATTTGGACAAGCGAGCCTTGTCGTTTTGGGCCATGTCGCGCTTGCTTTTCCACTGTGGCATTCTCCAGGCGTTCCCTTCGTTCGTCGAAATTCCGTTGTCTCGACTCTTCTTCTTTTCCCGAAATGAAGCTTGAGAGTCAACAAAGTCGCAACATCAACGACAAGGATCAGGCTTCAAGCCAAGCCCATAATGCGGTATAATCCACGCTTGGGTGCAAGGGTAGCTGCTGTTCAGCCCGTCGCGTGCCCGGCTCGCCTTCACCTTCCATTTCTCTCACTCACACCGCGACAGAAGGACACATGTCGAAACGGATGGAAGTACAACGGTGTCGGGGTGTGAGTCCCGACGATATCCTTTGGGGTTTGAAAGTGGCCAAGTGTTAAAGTGTAAAGTGCTGTAGTATTGAACAGGGCGAATGGTGTTGAATGTTCAAAATGAGACCGACAGGCAGCAACAGGAAGGCAACAGCGAGTTCGAGTTCAGTCTGACCCCAAAAAGTTTCCTGTTGTGCTGTTGAACGAACGAAACTGGCCAATAAAACAGACGGGTCCCTCTTGGTCTGGCAATCAGCGAGCTTCACGCGCGGTGTTGCCGTGCAGCCTCAAGGCAAATTAATCACGCGGGAATCCGCTCCCGTAAACGCACAGCCACGCAGCCACACAGGTCCTGACTCACCACAGCAGATGGACTGTGCGTCGAAGCAGTGCTGTCACATGAGAGATCACGGGGACAGCTTAAATACAGCACGGGCCATCGCCCTTCATCAGATGCCAAGAATTCTCCAGTGTACCTTGTACCCCAAAGTGGGGGAGCGTGGCAGGGGCCCGGTGGGACTGCAGCGACTTCCACCTGAAAAAAAGTTTGGCCGCGATCCAGAATTTTTTTGCAGCAGCAGCTTTGGAACAGCTTTTCCAGCAGCCAAATCCAGCACGCAACTGAAGTGAATACGCCGATTTCACTCGAATATCTTGCATTTTTGCATCTTGCATATTCAAGGAGCATAGACTATTACCCTGGCTGTGGTACAATTCACCTATTTATCATAAACCAACCGACCAATTGGCAGCAGTATCAAATACCCTTTATCAGATCCCGGTCCATATAATTTTCAAATCGATAAGGAAAAAGGAAGAGATTCTTCCCCACGCGACCATCCTCGACCCTCTCTCTCTCTCCTTCCTTCCTCACGACAACCTCAGTATCCCTCCAATCCCCTCCAAACAACACTCACACACACACCATGTCTACCAAGAGGAAAGCGCTCTCCCTGGCCAAGCCGGTGGTCAAGCCCAGCGCCAAAGTCGCAACCAGGTCCAAGATCGACGAGACAAGGACGGCCGTCTCGACCGGCCCAGCACCAAAGTCTGCCACCAAGGCCACCGCCCCAGAGACCATTGAGATTTCCAGCGACTCCTCCAGCCACTACAGCGGCTCGGACAATGAAGAAGATGTGAACAGCGACAACGAGGAGGAGGCCGTCGACGCCGCTCCCGAGAAGAAGCAGACCACCACCACCACCACCGAGCCCACTGCCCAACAAGACCAAGAGAACAACGACAACGACAACGACGACGACGACGATGCCTCCCCTACATTCGGCGATCTCGCCCGCGGCAACGCCACCATCGACGTCGCCTCCGCTCTCGCCGCCCAACAAGAAGCTTCTTCTTCTGCCGCCGCCGCTACCAAAAACAACACCATCACGGTCCAGCGCCCCAACGGCACCGCTACCACCATCTCCGCCACCTCCCTCGGCACCGTGCTCAACCAAGCCCTGCGCACCGACGACTCGGACCTGCTCGAATCGTGCCTGCAGACGTCCGACCCCAAGATCATCACCAACACCATTACGCGCATGGACTCGGCGCTCGCAGGCGTCTTGCTCTCCAAGCTCGCGGCCCGCATGCATCGCCGCCCTGGTCGCGCTTTTGGCTTGATGAAGTGGATCCAGACCACCCTCGTCGCGCACGGCGGGAGCTTGGTTGCGCAGCCTGAAGTCGTGGCGCGGCTGGGCGAGCTCAACCGCGTGCTGGAGGAGCGGGCGAGGGGATTGCCTGCGTTGTTGGCGCTCAAGGGAAAACTGGATATGCTGGATCAGCAGATGCGGTGGAGGAAGTTTGTGAAGCAGGGTGGTGCGGCGAAGGAGGAGCAGCATCAAGAAAATGAAGAAGAGGAGGAGGAGGAGGACGTTGATGAGCCGGGTGTGGTGTATGTGGAGGGGGATGAGGAGACTGGTACTGTCAATGGTACGATGGGCAACGAGGAAGACTTTGCGCTTATAGATGTTGGTGCGAATGGCGAGTCGGATGAGGAGGAGGGTGATGAGGATGAGGAGGACGATGAGGAGGATGATGAGGAGTTTGATGATGGGGAGAGCCTGGATGAGGATGAGGTCGATCATGATGATGTTGAGGAGAGCGGTGATGAGGATGAGGATGACGAGGAGGAGGAGGATGATGCGCCACCAGCCAAGGTGCAGAAGACGTCATCCAAATTCGCAAAGAGAAAGTAAAGACGGGGCGGTACGAAGGATGTGGTGTAAAGAAGGGTGTATTGCTGTCAAGTATAGGTAAAATGCTGATGGGGCCATGGCCGTTGTTGTTGTTGTCACATACATATCCCGTCAGGTTTCGCATCCTTTGGGGTTAAGGAGTTTATAATCATGTCTTTTTCTTGGTTTCTATCCTGGTTTTTTGTGTGTAATTTTGTTGTAGAAAAGGGGGAACTTTGAGTAACTACTGTAGTGGTGTTGAACATACATACCTTGGGTGAAATAGTTACTCGGTAAATATAGACATGTCATGTTGCCCACATACTTATGGCCTGTAACCGTTGTTCATTTATTTTATGTTCGTGTGTGTGTTTTTGTTGTTTCTATTTTCTTCTTCTTGTTCTTTTAGATATCTCTCTCTTGATAGTTCAACACTGACGTACCAAACAAACAACATCTCTCTGACTATCATGCCTCTCTCTATCAACTGACTACTGTACTCAATTGCATGTCTAAATTGCTTCACTTTTCTTTTAATCTCCTTCATTACGTAGCGAAGTGCTCTACCTACCTACCTACCTACCTGCCCACTGCCCAAGTCACCTCCCAAGGAAAACGCACATACTAACGCCACGAATAATCTTCACTAGGATACGTCTTCTTAGAACTCACACCCTGTAATTATTGGATGAATCGATAGATTGATGGATCGATTGATAGACTAAAGAGCATAAATGAATGAATGCTCTCTTTCAGATGAATTAGGAAGATATGGATGGATCGGTGTTCAACAGATTTGACAATTCTCTTACCATGTATAGTATTCAGGTCCATTACTACTTCAAATGAAAATGAAAGTGACAGTAGATATTTCGTTTCTTCGAAAAAGTAGTAGTACTTTAATCCACGCACACACATATGTATGTACAGAGAGTTCACCACTCAGTCTTGACTCAGGGCATTTACAAATATTTGCAATTCACCTTGTTTCTTGCCTGCTCTTCGCTTGTATATCTTCTTACATTCCCCTTCTGTGTATATGCAATGACTACTACTATCCTTCCGCTATGTTCTCATCTCTTCTTATCTTCCATCTCTTCCTCTCCCCTCCCTACCACCACCACCACCACCGAGTTTCACTACTACCAAATTTAACTAACTATAACTATACTATATATGTGATGATGATATATGATGTTATAACGACAGCTCAAGATATCTTTACTACCATGAAGCGAAGGCGTGTAAAGAGCAACAACAATAAAAAGAGTATTGCATATATAAGCAAGAAACGACGGTTTTTTGTCTTTTCCTATGTATTTCCCTTCCCACACGCCAAAGTATATATATGATGCGATGCAATGTTATGTTTGTATGTAATGTAATGTGATGTAAAGTGTTATCCAGAAAGATGATCACAAATCCTGAAAAAAGGTATTCAAGATCATGAAAAGAAAAGAAAAGAAAAATCAACCCCCTTAAGGCATAACACTCTGTCTCCACCTCTCAACCATATCCACGCCCCCTGGCTGCTGCGGGAGCTGCTGCTGCTGCTGCTGTTGGTGCGGATACATCATTCCCATTTGAGGTCTCATCATCTGTCCCGGTCCCGTCTGGAACTGCATCGGCGCGCCATACGCACCGTAGTTGGAGACAGCGCCCATCATCGGCATGCCCATGCCCATTCCATACTGCGCACCAGCGGCACCACCACCCACAGTCATGGTACTCGCCCTCCTAGCCATCGGCTTCTCCATCTCGTGCTGCTGCACTAACAGACCTCTCGGCTGGATCGCATTGGCATTCGGATCAAATCCGATTCCCAGCCCTTGGCCGAGGGCCGGATTGCTCCGGTTCGCACCGGCGCCACCACCGTTATAGATGCCGCCCATGAATCCGCCTGTCCTAGCGCCGATTGCGGGTGCAGCAAGTGTCTGGGGCATCTGCGCGCGGATGGCAGCCATCTTGGCTTCCTGCGCGCGCTGCTGGCGGAGGCCTTCGGCTTCGCGACGGAGACGTTCTTGTTCGAGGGGACTGATGTGGGGGTTGCCGAGGCCGGTGCTGTCGACGGGGTGGGCGTTGAGAACGTCGGAGAGAGATACGCGCCTGGAAGGAGGGCCAGGGTTGACGTTGTTGGGATCAAAGGGGATCAAGGTGGCGGAGTCACGGCGGTCACGCGGTTGGGGAGGAGCCGCGAGCATGTTGGGGTTAGTGGCGATTTGGGTAGCATTACCGGGGAGAGCGCCGGCGGCCATTTCCCGCTCGCGAGCCTCGCGCTCGGCTTGTAGCCTCTTTCTGCGCTGGCCAAGGGTTTCTTCTTCTTCTGGAACGCCAGAGGCGGGTGCTTTGCCCTTGGAGTCCTTGGATGTCGGACGCTTCTCCTCCTCGTTGGGGGTAACGCCGAACTCGCTGAGGAGTTCGGAAGAGAAGCCGGCGCTGACAGGACGAGCGCGCGGGAGAGGGTTCTCGGCTGCTAGACGGGCCTTGCGGGCCGCGAGGGTCTCACCTTCGCCTTCGGCGTCGCTGCCTTCTGCGTCGAGACCTCCTGCCATGAGGGCTGGGTTGGAACCGCCTGCCAAACCGCGCGGCAAAGGCAGGGTCAGTTTCGACTGTGAGCGGTTACCGAGGGCATTGGGACCTCCGGAGGGAGTGAGCGTCATGTGGGACATGCGCCTCTGCATCTGGTCCAGAGACATGGATGGTAGGCTTTCGCTGCCCTTCAGCCTGTGTCGGCGCTGGCTGAGCGGCTCGTTCTCTTCCAGTTCACGACGCTCCATCAAGCCCAGGGGGCGGTTGACCTCGCTCATGAGGACGGCAATGTCGGCAGTGTGAGGATCCTTGACGCCCGCAGCCTTGGCCGCGTACAGCATGCCCAGAGGGACGTCTTCATCGTCAGACTCCGGTGTTGGGTTCTGGGCGGGATCTTCCCAGGCAAGGTTCACGCGCTTGGTAATCCGTTGCTTGCGTTGCACCTGAGCCACGGCATCGAGCTCGAGCAAAGTGGCGTGCATACCGTAAGGGTTGCCAGGTGCTGCGGGACGCCTCAACATCTTGTCCTTTTGCTTGCGCATCTGTAACTCGGCCAAGAGTGTCGTTGGTGGGCCGTTAAACACAGGCTCTCCATCGACAAGTTCCTCCTCTTCCTCCCCCCCTCCTGGCCCATCTCGGGTGATCGCCGACGGCTTGATCCAGGCTCATCAGCATCAAGACCGACGCTCGTCCATCCCTCATCCTCATCACTATCCTTGTTGGCCTTGACATCGAGCAGGCCACTACTCGAGTTCCTCTTGATCAGCTTCTTGCGAGTCTTCTTGACGGGAGCTGTGGGGATATCCGCAGAGGTGACCGACTTCTGGATCTTCTTCTTGTCTGTGCCATACACCTCGGGGCCGAGCTTTCCACCATAGGCGTGATCAGTAAAGGCGCTGACGGGCGCTGTAGCCGAGGCATCCAGAATGGTCTCCAAGGTTGCCGTGGCAGACCCATCCTTCAGCTGTATATGAGGCGTAGTAGACGTCGGCAGGTCGAAAAAGGCACTGGCCCGGAGCTGCGGTGGCAGACCGTTGAGCATTGTGGCTTGGGACTTGCGCCTGTCCGTCTCGGTCAACCGTTGTGGTCGGCGAATTTCCCGCCCTGACTGCGCCGGGAATGCGCCTGCTGTGTCAGCCGGTCCGTCCGCATACGGCAAGCCATCAATTTGCGGAAGCTGAGGTGGCGCCTCGCCCGCACCGCCCGACATCATTGGCAGGTTGTCTCGGCTTCCACCATAAACGGATGACTGCTGCTGCATAACGCTGAGAACCTGAGACCGACGCATGTTCCGGGCACCACCAGCCTTGTTGGTGTTTTTGGAGAGTTTGGGCGGGAGGTTGAGCATGGCGGGAACTGGCGCAGGGTAGTAAAGCATCTCCTGACCGGTCGAAGGGTCAAAGTAAGACTTTGGTCGTGGTTGCAGTGTCTCGCGACGCCTCCTTGGCTCAGGAGCGCGTTCAGCAGGCTGTGGGAGCCCAGCGAAATGATCTACATCTGGATCACAGTGGACGCCATCAAAATCACCAAATGCGTCGTTGGCTTGTTGCAAGGTGGTGCGAGATGCGGCCGTCAGTGGCCTGCCGTGATATTGCTGATGAGCATCATGGTCCTCGTAGGGCGGGTAGTCGACGGGTTGGTGAAGTTGCAACCGGGGACCGGGCTGGTCGAAGAAAGTATTGTCGAGCATTGGCTGTCGCACTGGTTCGTCTGGTCCATTGAGGTCCACGTCGTCCATCTCATCTGCATACTGCGGCTCGATTTGCTGATGGGCACGGGCTGCGATGGCTTCATCGTCATCTAGGGCCGCCCCCGTGGCCGCAGCACGGTCTGCCTCGTCGATAGCATCCTGGGTAATCGTTATTGGGTGGTCCAGCTCGGCGATCTGTGCAAGAGAGTCCGGTTTCCTTGAGGCATCCCTGACCGAACTCTTTCCTGGTCCGTGGCGGGCAAACGGGAACTCTTCTCCGGTACCGGCTCCGATGAAGTCGGGGTTCTGGGCGTTTGCAGCAGTCTCGGCTGGAGGAGACCTGGGCGACGACTCTCCAATGGACCCCGGCTTGCTTCCGGAATGAGCGCCGCCCGACAAAGAGTGGTTGGGCGTCATAACATAACCTCCGGGCGAGTAGCCTCCCAGCCGCGCCGCAGAGTTCAATGCGCGGATGGAGTTGGTCCTGCTCGACGATACCCGCGATCGAATGGGGGAGGATGCCGTGTCTGATGTCGGTGACTTGGTTGCTTGTAGGATGGCCGATCGGCGACTGTCGCTGCGCTTGAGCTCGTTGTGTTCGTTGCGAATGGCCTCTTCAATCGAGCTGGTCAATGAAAAGCGTTCGGCGGTGGCCTCGAGAGCAGCGATGTTACCGACGTAGGCGCCTGATCGTGATCGCTTGCTAGTGTCCGGGGTAGGGTGGCTCAGGGGGATGCTGGCGGTCGAGGATGTTCTCGGCGGCGGGGTCTGCTGTAGCGCTACTGTAGAGCTGCGCGATCGCTGTACTTTGGGGCTCTCGGGGGTTGGGCGGACAACGGTCGTGTTGGCGACGGCAGTTGTTGCTCCTACTACTGCGCTGGGATCAGACGGTGGCGGAGGGGGCAGCGAAAAGCTGTTCAGGGGGGCAGAAAGGTCGTGTTCGTGTTGGTGGTTGTCGCTTATTGATCGTGAAAAGGAATGATCCCCTGTCGTGACGGCGGCTGCTGTGGGTTGTTGTTGTTGTTGTTGTTGCGGCACAGGCCGAAGTTGGCTACCTCGCTCGTTGCTATCGGGACTGGGATCGTCAATGTCGTATTGCTTGTTGTTAGCTGCAGCCCCGTCGC